TTGTGCAACTTGTGTTCCTTGATTAGTATATCTTTGTGCAACTTGTGTTCCTTGATTAGTATATCTTGTGCAACTTGTGTTTCCTTGATTAGTATATTCTTGTGAAAACTTGTGTTCCCTTGATTAAGTATATCTTGTGGCAACTTGTTGTTCCTTGATTAGTATATCTTGGGGCAACTTTGTTCCTTGATTAGTATTATCTTGTGCAACTTGTGTTCCTTGATTAGTATATCTTGTGCGACTTGTGTTCCTTGATTAGTATATCTTGTGCAACTTGTGTTCCTTGATTAGTATATCTTGTGCAACTTGTGTTCCTTGATTATTTATATCTTGTGCAACTTGTGTTCCTTGATTAGTATATCTTGTGCAACTTGTGTTCCTTGATTAGTATATCTTGTGCAACTTGTGTTCCTTGATTAGTATATCTTGTGCAACTTGTGTTCCTTGATTAGTATATCTTGTGCAACTTGTGTTCCTTGATTATATATCTTGTGCAATTTGGGTGTTCCTTGATTAGTATATCTTGTGCAACTTGTGTTCCTTGATTAGTATATCTTGTGCAACTTGTGTTCCTTGATTAGTATATCTTGGCTAACTTGTTTTCTGCTTTACTTGTGTTCGCTCTAATATATCCTGTTCAAACTGTGTTCTGTGACAGTACCAGAAGCCATTGGGCTACTGGTACCGTGAGGTCCCTGGGCTACTGGTACTGTGAGGTCCCTGGGCTACTGGTACCGTGAGGTCCCTGGGCTACTGGTACCGTGAGGTCCCTGGGCTACTGGTACCGTGAAGTCCCTGGGCTACTGGTACTGTGAGGCCCCTGGGCTACTGGTACTATGAGGTCCCTGGGCTACTCTTACTGTGAGGTCCATGGGCTACCGGTACAGTGAGGCCCCTGGGCTACTAGTACCGTGAGGTCCCTGGGCTACTGGTACCGTGAAGTCCCTGGGCTACTGGTACTGTGAGGCCCATGGGCTACTGGTACTATGAGGTCCCTGGGCTACTCTTACTGTGAGGTCTCTGGGCTACTGGTACTGTGAGGCCCCTGGGCTACTGGTACTTTGAGGCCCCTGGGCTGTTACTGTGAGGTGCCTTGGCTACTGGTACTGTGAGACCCCTGGGCTACTGGTGCTGTGAAGTCCCTGGGCTACTTTTACTGTGAGGTCCCTGGGCTACTGGTACTGTGAGGTCCCTGGGCTACTGGTTCTGTGAGGCCCCTGGGCTACTGGCACTGTGAGGTCCCTGGGCTACTGGTACTGTGAGGTCCCTGGGCTACTGGTACTGTGAGGTCCCTGGGCTACTGGTACTGTGAGGTCCCTGGGCTACTGGTACTGTGAGGTCCCTGGGCTACTGGTACTGTGAGGTCCCTGGGCTACTGGTACTGAGAGGTCCCTGGGCTGTTACTGTGAGGTGCCTGGTCTACTGGTACTGTGAGACCCCTGGGCTACTGGTACTGTGAAGTCCCTGGGCTACTGGTTCTGTGAGGCCCCTGGGCTACTGGCACTGTGAGGTCCCTGGGCTACTGTTACTGTGAGGTCCCTGGGCTACTATTAGTGTGATCTCCCTGGGCTACTGGTACTGTGAGGTTCCTGGGCTACTGTTACTGTGAGGTCCCTGGGCTACTGGTACTGTGAGGTCCCTGGGCTACTGGTACTGTGAGGTTCCTGGGCTACTGGTACTGTGAGGCTCCTGGGCTACTGTTAGTGTGATCTCCCTGGGCTACTGGTACTGTGAGGTCCCTGGGCTACTGGTACTGTGAGGTCCCTGGGCTACTGGTACTGTGAGGCCCCTGGGCTACTGGTACTGTGAGGTCCCTGGGCTACTCTTACTGTGAGGTCCCTGGGCTGTTACTGTGAGGTGCCTGGGCTACTGGTACTGTGAGGCCCCTGGGCTACTGGTACTGTGAAGTCCCTGGGCTACTCTTACTGTGAAGTCCCTGGGCTGTTACTGTGAGGTCCCTGGGCTACTGGTACTGTGAGGTGCCTGGGCTACTGGTACTGTGAGGTGCCTGGGCTACTGGTTCTGTGAGGCCCCTGGGCTACTGGTTCTGTGAGGCCCCTGGGCTACTGGTACTGTGAGGCCTCTGGACTATTACTGTGAGGTCCCTGGGCTACTGGTACTGTGAGGTCCCTGGGCTACTGGTTCTGTGAGGCCCCTGGGCTACTGGTTCTGTGAGGCCCCTGGGCTGGTACTGTGAGGTACCTGGGCTACTGTTGCTGTGAGGTCCCTGGGCTACTGTTACTGTGAGGTCCCTGGGCTACTGGTACTGTGAGGTACCTGGGCTACTGGTACTGTGAGGCCCCTGGGCTACTGGTACTGTGAGGTACCTGGGCTACTGTTACTGTGAGGTACCTGGGCTACTGGTACTGTGAGGTACCTGGGCAACTGGTACTGTGAGGTCCCTGGGTAACTGGTACTGTGAGGTACCTGGGCTACTGGTACTGTGAGGTACCCGGCTACTGGTACTGTGAGGTACCTGGGCTACTGGTACTGTGAGGTACCTGGGCTATTGGTACTGTGAAGTACCTGTGCTGTTAGTGTGATGTCCCTGGGCTACTGGTACTGTGAGGTCCCTGAGCTACTGGTACTGTGAGGTCCCTGGGCTACTGGTATTGTATGTCCCGGGGCTACTGGTACTGAGAGGTCCCTGAGCTACTGTTACTGTGAGGTCCCTGGGCTACTGGTACTGTGAGGTCCCTGGGCTACTGGTATTGTGATGTCCCTGGGCTACTGGTACTGTGAGGTCCCTGGGCTACTGTTACTGTGAGGTCCCTGGGCTACTGGTACTGAGAGGTCCCTGAGCTACTGTTACTGTGAGGTCCCTGGGCTACTGGTACTGTGAGGTCCCTGGGCTACTGGTACTGTGATGTCCCTGGGCTACTGGTACTGTGAGGTCCCTGGGCTACTGGTACTGTGAGGTCCCTGGGCTACTGGTACTGAGAGGTCCCTGAGCTACTGTTACTGTGAGGTCCCTGGGCTACTGGTACTGTGAGGTCCCTGGGCTACTGTTACTGTGAGGTCCCTGGGCTACTGGTACTGAGAGGTCCCTGAGCTACTGTTACTGTGAGGTCCCTGGGCTACTGGTACTGTGAGGTCCCTGGGCTACTGGTACTGTGAGGTCCCTGGGCTATGGTACTTTTGGGGGTCCCTGGGTACTGGTACTGTGAGGTCCCTGGGCTACTGGTACTGTGAGGTCCCTGGGCTACTGGTACTGTGAGGTCCCTGGGCTACTGGTACTGTGAGGTCCCTGGGCTACTGGTACTGTGAGGTCCCTGGGCTACTGGTACTGTGAGGTCCCTGGGCTACTGGTACTGTGAGGTCCCGGGGTACGGGGACTGTGAGGTCCCTGGGCTACTGGTACTGTGAGGTCCCTGGGCTACTGGTACTGTGAGGTCCCTGGGCTACTGATACTTTGAGGTTCCCAGTGATATTTTCAAAAGAAAAAAAATAAATACGACACTCGACAGTTTACCTGGAGTTTACCTGGAGAGAGTTTCCGGGGGTCAACGCCCCCCGCGGCCCGGTCTGTGACCAGGCCTCCTGGTGGATCAGCGCCTGATCAACCGGGCTGTTGCTGCTGGCTGCAGGGCAAACCAACGTACGACCCACAGCCCGGCTGATCAGGAACTGTCTTTAGGTGCTTGTCCAGTGCCAGCTTGAAGACTGCCAGGGGTCTGTTGGTATTTCCCCCTTATGTGTGCTGGGAGGCAGTTGAACAGTCCCCGGGCCCCTGACACTTATTGTATGGTCTCTTAAACGTGCTAGTGACACCCCGCTTTTTTATTGGGGGGATGGTGCATCGTCTGCCAAGTCTTTTGCTTTCGTAGTGAGTGATTTTCGTGTGCAAGTTTGGTACTAGTCCCTCTAGGATTTCCAGGTGTATATAATCATGTACTCTCCCTCCTGCGTTCCAGGAATACAGGTTTAGAAACCTCAAGCGCTTCCAGAATTAGGTGTTTTATCTCCGTTATGCGCGCCGTGAAAGTTTCTCTGTACATTTTCTAGGTCGGCAATTTCACCTGCCTTGAAAGGTGCTGTTAGAGTGCAGCAATAAATTTCCCGCCTAGATAGAACAAGTGACCTGAAGAGTGTCATCCCTGGGCTTGGCCTCCCTAGTTTTGAAGGTTCTCATTATCCATCCTGTCATTTTTCTAGCAGAAAGCGATTGATACCCAAAGTTATGGTCTTGAAGGTGAGATCCTCCGACATAATCACTCCTAGGTCTTTGACGTTTTGGGGTTTCGCTCTATTTTGTGGCCAGAATTTGTTTTGTACTCTGATGAAGATTTAATTTCCAAAGTTTACCATATCTGAGTAATTGAAATTTCTCATCGTTGAACTTATATTGTTTTTCTGCAGCCCACTGAAAGATTTGGTTGATGTCCGCCTGGAGCCTTGCAGTGTCTGCAATGGAAGACACTGTCATGCAGATTCGGGTGTCATCTGCAAAGGAAAAACACGGTGCTGTGGCTGACATCCTTGTCTATGTCGGATAGAGGATGAGAACAAGATGGGAGCTAGTACTGTGCCTTGTGGGACAGAGCTTGTCACCGTAGCTGCCTCGGACTTTACTCTGTTGACGACTACTCTCTGTGTTCTGTTAGTGAGGAAATTATAGATCCATCGACCGACTTTTCCTGTTATTCCTTTAGCGCGCATTTTGTGCGCTATTACGCCATGGTCACACTTGTCGAAGGCTTTTGCAAAGTCTGTATATATTACATCTGCATTCTTTTTGTGATGTAGTATCATTTCAGTTCACTTTTCATCTCGTGTGGCCCTCCAGCCCTGCAGCCCTCCAGCCCTCCAGCCCTGCAGCCCAGGGGTACAGGGGCTGCAGCCCCTGGACCCTATTCCTCAATCCGGCCCTGCTTACTACTAGTGTTCTGCGACTTGCATATGATGCCCTGTTAGTGCTCTGTGACATGCATATCCTGCCAGAAATTTATATATCATACCCTATTTATGGTTTGAAACATGTAAATCCAACCTCACTTGTGTTCTGCAACTTGTAAATCCGACTCTTTTTTGTGTATCATGGCATATATTTTATTCCTTATTGTTTTACATTATGTGTATAACCTACACGTGTGATCTGCAGCGGCTGCTGGGCGGACTGAGCAAGGACAAGGAGTTCCTGGTGTCACTGCTGGGTCGTCGAAGCCTGAGACAGGAGGTGGTGACGGTGGACGGTGGCGGCCAAGTTACTCACACAAGTTGTCAAGTGGCGGCCGTTGCCAAGGAAGCTCTCAGCTCTTTACAAGTGAGACATTCCCATGCTCGCTCAAGCACGCGCGCACGCACACACACACACACACACACACACACACACACACACACACACACACACACACACTCAGTCTATAATTTTGCTTTATAACTTTCAGCACATGACCTGAGGTTCTCTCAGTCAAGTCAAATATTGCTCTTTAAAACCTACAATACCTGCTTACTATCTTCCTTATGTAACCTAGAACACTTTCTGAATTTCATTCTATTCTGTCAGTTACAGCTCTCTAACCTACAGTACATCCCTTGTAGTTCAGTCCAGTTAGTAAACAAAACAAGAGAAAAAATACTAAATTATAGCAAATAGTCTCACATATTAAACTCATTCAAAATTTTATTTCTGTTACTTGCTCCTCTAACCTCTCCTAATCATTCTCCTCTCCTCCAGCAGGCCTCTCCCACATCTCTGATCTGCCTATATTCTTTTCAACTTACTGAAGTTTCCCAGTTTATGTTCACAGAAATAATTATCTTATGAATGACGCACTTCCAGACAGGTAAACATTTATCATCTATTCCTGCAATATCCTTATCATACAGAACACAGATACAGCAAAATGTGTGTACCAATTTTTTTTTTAATATGCCCTAGACCTTTATCAGTTGTCCTATTCTGACTTCATGGGGTCAGCACTTGGAATCGTTTATGTGGCAACGAGACCCCGGGGGCAGTACTGGAAGGCCGGGTGCTGTTGATGGAGGCGCAGGCAAGACTCTTCTCCAGAAGGAACGGGAAAAGAAAGAGCGAGCCAGGCTTAAGGTCACTCTCAGGCGTCGTGCAGCAATACTGCTGCAGCAGCTACACCAAGACGCAGGTCAGTACGACAGGCTATCTCTATATGATTTGCAAAAAGTAATGTAACAAAGTATCGGTAATGGTTCAGGCGATTTTCGGACATTTTTACAAAATCAGTGTCGGTGATTTTTTTTATAAAGTATAACGTGCTCTTAAAAATATCAAAATTAACACTGTACCTCACACACACACACACACACACACACACACACACACACACACACACACACACACACATGCAACGTGATTAAAAAAGACACGGGGAGATTATAGAGAACGAGAGCATCATCGTGATAACAGGAGAGAACATGACTCAACTGCAAATTTTCAGAGACTTGGGTGGTTCTCGAGGGAAAAGAACCTCAGTCATATTGACATTCAAGTCAGAAATGACATGAAACAAAATCCTGCAGTGGAAGCTACTGTTAAAGGGTTCACAAAAATATCAGCGAGTGTACCACCACGACAGAACACGAAAAACGGGAACAACTGAGGGGAAGAGTAAGAATGCACTGAGGCAGATTACTTTGCCTCAGTGCATATCTTGGCGACAGGGTATGCACTGTCAGACAGAGTAGCACATCCTCGAAGGAAACAGCAAACAACCAAACACAGACCAACCCACAGCATCCCATCAACCCCTGCAATCCCCACACCAACCACGCACAATAACAATCGCCAAACTACACTCCACATCCACAGCCCCCAGCCCCCAGCACTAATAGTGCCACACCAGCAAACTACCATAATAACTAGGCCTGCCTACCACACCCACAGCCAGCATCAACCTTTCCAACTCCCCAGAATACAATTCTAGAAAGGAAACTGAAGGTGTGGTACACCAACACAACTCCCCAGAATGCAATTCTAGAAAGGAAACTGAAGGTGTGGAATTACAAATAAAAGTGAGGAGAGTCACGAAAGAATCACTGAAGCATCCCAGGACATCAGAGTAATCATAGAGACAAAGTTCACGTAAGTGATAACAGATGCAATCTTCCCATGTAGTTATCAGATCCTGAGGAAAGACAGTGGGGGGGGGCAGAGGGGGAGGAGGGGGAGGAGGAGGAGGAGGAGGAGGAGTTGCACTGTTCATTAAAATGCAATGGAGTTTTGAGGAGATGGAAGGACTAGTCAGATGGTTAGTGGACGACTACATAGGAGCACTGTATACTGGGGGTCAAAAAGTGATGATAGCAGTGATGTACAACCTGCCACCAAGCAGTAGGAGGCCAAGACGAATATGATGAGAGCAACAGAGTGATGATGGACACAATAGCCGAGATTACTAGAAGGGCCCACATGAGCAGAGCAAAGTTACTCATCATGGGGGATTTCGACTATAAGGAGACTGCGGAAATCTGGAGACGTGGAGAGCCAAAATACTGGAGGTATTAGAAAACTTCTTGTCCATCATGTTAAGGACAAAATCAGTGAGAGAGGCCAGGAGCTGCAAATCAACCCTTACAACTACAAATAGGCGAATCCACACACACACACTAACACACTTGCTCACACACAACGTAGTCATAGTAGGGGACTTTAACTTTAGCCAAATTGACTGGAATTCTTTGACAGGTAATCTAGAGTCCAGTGACTTCATGGAAACAGTTCAGGACTGTTTTCTGAAACAGAGTGTAACTGAACCTACCAGGGGTAATAATTTGCTAGACCTAGTCTTGTCAAATAAGGAAACACTCGTGAATAATCTGGAGATCACTGAAGAGCTTGGCGCAAGTGATCACAAATCCATCACCTTTAGCATTAATTGGGAATGCAAGAATAATGATAATACAGTAAAAATCCCCGATTTTCGTTCTGCCGATTATAATGGACTTAGGGAACATCTGTCTAATCTTGATTGGGGTTATCTAGCTAATGATTTTATTGACGATAATCATACTTATGAATATGAAGGGATCTGCTTTTATGATTGTTTTCTTAATAATGTACTCAGTGCCCAGAGTATATACATTCCCCAGAGAGAAATTAGGTCTAATAATAACGATCCCAAATGGGTTAACAGGAGGCTAAAACATCTATTAGGGGAGAAAAGGGGAATTTATAGGCGCATCAGAAAGGAGAGGTTAACCTTACTGACCAATATGTTCAGCTTAAAAGAGAAGTAAAAAAGACGATTAGAAAGGCTAAACGTGACTATGAATTAGAGTCGCTAATGAATCAAAGACTAATCCAAAGGGGTTCTTTCAAGTGTATAGGACGAAGGTGAAGGAAAAAGTAGGACCTCTGAAATCTGGGAATGGACAGCTGACGGATAATGAACTGAAATGTGTTCCTTATTTAATGACTATTTTTTGTCAGTTTTTTACACAGGAAGATGTAAATGAGATTCCAGTAATTAACAATTATTTAGTTCCTGAGAATTTAAGTTAACTAATATTACTGTCACGAGGACATGGTTATTAAACAGATAGACAAACTGAAACAAATAAAGTCCCCGGGACCCGATGAGTTGTGTTTTCAAGGGTACTTAAGGAATGCAAGATGGAGCTTAGTCAGCCATTAACGAGTGTATTTAATGCGTCCACCCCTTCCGTGTGTGCCAGAGATGTGGAAATGGCAAATGGGTTCCTATATTCAAAATCGGGGGGAAAATTCACTCCTTCAAATTACCGCCCAAATAACCCTGACATCTATAGTGGGCAAGTTATTAGAATCAATTAAGCTGAATTACAGAAGTCACCTTGAAGAGCATAACTTGATAAATAAATCTCAGAGGATTCACGAGGGGTCTTTTCCCGCCACAAACTTATGACTTTCTTCAATAGAACATTTGGGCAGTTGACAGTGACAAAATATATATTGTTTATTTGGATTTTAGTAAGCCTTCGACAGGTACCTCACAAAGACCTTAAGAAAAGGGGCAGTCAGGGTATGGGGAAAAGTTTGATGGATTGAGGCAGGGTTTCCCAATAGAAAGCAATTACCATTATGGAGTGAAATCTAATGGGGTTAGTCACTATGGCTTTTCCAAAAAGGATCATTTTTAGGCCCTCTTTGTTGGTAAACATATGCAACAGTTAGGTATCTTTATTATGAAATTTTTCGCCCTACACAGTAGGCTTTTTCAGTCAAGAAAAGAAAAGTTGATAAAAAGCAGAAGATACTTGAAGACGATGAATCAGTTCATCCCCCTTTAAATTTTGAGGGGGTCATCCCCAGCTGGAAAAGAGCATTGTTCCTATATGAAACAATATGGAGAAAAATGACAGGATGGAGCTTTTATAGGCCAGGAGGTGAGCGTAGGCCCTAGGAGGGGAAAAACTCAGATGTTGAAAGGTTAGGTCCCTCTCAACCCAGCCCTCTCACTATGGAATTGTCGAATTTGATTGCAGTCCGTCCAAGATCCCTTTTGTTGCAGTGCTGACAGATTGAACAGTTTTCAATTGTTTTAAAATTCAACTGTCAGACACTCAACACAAAGGGGACTTGGTACAGACCTGCAAACAACTTCGACAACTTCCACTAGGAGAGGGGGGTGGGTTTGAGAGGGACCTAACCCTTTTAACTCTGAGTTCTTACCTCTCCCAGTGGGCCCACTTCACCTCCTGGCGCATAAAAGCTCCATCCTGTCACTTCTCCCATATTGTTTCAACTATGGACAATGCTCTTCTCCAACGAGGACTGCCACCTCAAAAATTTAAGGGGGATGGGGATTTCACGCTTAAGTATCTTTGCTTTTCAACTTTTTTGTACTTGATGAAAAGCCTATGTTAGGCGAAACGTTTTATAATAAAATACCCAACTGTTGCATGTGTTTTCCTACAACCTGCGGTATTTTATACCCTTTTAATGTTCAATCTGTCGACACGCAACCAAGGGTATTTTTACAACCGCAATCAACTTCGAAACTTTCCCCTATGAAGGGGCTGGGGGTTTGAGAGGGGCCTAACCTTTCAAAATCTATTCTTACCCCCCTTTTTGGCCTACGTCTACCCCCTGGGGGCCCATAAAAGCTCCCTCCCGTCACTTCTTCCCAATTGTTTCATACATGGAACAATGCTCTTCTCCAACTGGGGACAAAACCCCCTCAAACTTTTAAAGGGTATGGACTGATTACATCGTCTTCAAATATCTTCTGCTTTATCAACTTTTTTTACTTGCTGAAAAGCCACGTGTAGGCAAAGTTTCAAATAAAAAATACCCAACTGTTTCAATGTGCCCCACCAACAACCTGGGCGGTATTTTTTACCATTTTAATGTTCAATCTGTCAACACTGCAAACAAGGGTATTTGGGACAGACCCCCGCAATCAACTTTGACAACTTTACTAGTGAGAGGGGGGGGTTTTTAGGGACCTAACCTTTCAACATCTGATTCTTAAACCTCTCCTATGGCCTACGTTCACCTCCTGGCGCAAATAAAAGCTCCATCCTGTCACTTCTTCTCCATAATTGTTTCATACTATGGAACAATGCCTCTCCAGATTTAGGGACTGACCACCTCAAAACTTTAAGGGGTGCTGGATATTCATCGCTTCAAGTATTTTTCTGCTTCTATCAACTTTTCTGTACTTGACTGAAGAAGCCTACTGTGTAGGCGAAACTTTTTCATAATAAAGATACCTAACTGTTGCATATGTGTCTTCCCTAACAACCGTGGGTATTTTATACCATTTTAATGTTCGGGGGCCCTCTCTTGTTCATTTTTTAAACATTAATGACCTTGATGAAGGGATTACAGTGACATAGTAAGTTTGCTGATGATACAAAGATAGGCCGTATAATTCACTCTGAGGAGGATATCAATAAAACTCCAGGACGATTTGAACAAATTTAATGTCTTGGTCTGAGAAATGGCAGTGAAGTTTAATGTGGATAAGTGTAAGTACTTGCCCTTGGTAATGAAAATAACCCTCGAAGCTAAATCTAGTGAAGTAGAGCTTGGTCATACAGAATGTGAAAAAGACTTGGAGTCATGGTAAGCAGAAATCTAAAGCCAAGACAGCAGTGCCTCAGTGTGCGCAACAAGGCCAACAGATTACTGGATTATCTCAAGAAGTTATAAGTAACAGAAGTCCAAAAGTTATTTTTCAGCTCTATACATCACTAGTGAGGCCTCATTTAGATTATGCTGCTCAGTTTTGGTCCCTTACACAGGATGGACATAGACTCATTAGAGAACATACAGAGAAGAATGACTAAAATGATTTACTGTGTAAGGAACCTCCCGTATTAAGATAGACTTAAAGCCTTAAATCTCCACTCTCTGGGGAGGCGTAGAATGAGGGAGATATCATTGAAGTGTATAAGTGGATGACGGGCATAAACAAGGGAGACATTAATAAAGTACTGAGGGTGTCGAACCAGGTAAGAACCAGGAATAATGGATTTAAGTTGGATAAATTTAGATTTAGAAAGGACATAGGTAAGTACTGGTTTTCTAACAGAGTTGTAGATGCGTGGAACAGTCTTCCCAGTGGGGTGATAGAGGTTAGGACCTTGGGTAGCTTTAAGAAGAGACTGGACAAATATATGAGTGGGAGGGGCTGGGTTTGATTGGTGTCAAGGGTACGGGAGTTATTTCTTGAGTAGCTTTAGTAGATGTCGTTTTGATAAGGACCTGCCTCGTATGGGCCAGTAGGCCTTCTGCAGTGTTCCTACATTCTTATGTTCTTATGTTCTTATGATAGTTCTTTCATCTTGGGCAGACCTAGTCAGTAAATACCTAAGTTCCCCTCCTCTTCAAGAGAGACTAAAATGATTGAAAGAGTAACCATTCTTCTCGAAAATTTGTGTATGTTTGAGAATTTTTATATATTCCCTAATGCCTAACTTTAAGCGCTGTTTGAACTTTGTTTTTCCTTCCTTTTCTATTTTGTTTTACGCATAACTCGAGAGTTCCTCACCTAATTAACTTTAGGAACGATTAACATGTTAACATGTCCTTTGATCAAAGTTATTGAACCTAACTTCAGATAACTTCAACATCCTGAATGGCCATTAAAATGGTATAAAATACAGACAGGCTGTAGGTAAGACACATGTGCAACAGTTAGGTGCATATGTGTCTTACCTACATCCTGAGTGGCAATGTTTCAAACGTTCACAAGAGGTTCCAAGAAATATGATGATGGTGGAGAGTGAAACTGAAATGTTACGGTGCAGATTTGACAATTTTGTGTGTAAAATACTGGGAACTTTATAGTCTCGTTAAATCACACACTAAGGAGCAGACCCGCCTAAGCGGAGTTTGTCCATTTTATCAGTAGTACGACTTGACCGGACACCCGTTCAATATGGCAGATCTTGTCCTCTTAATGGCTATTTTAATCGGACATCCCATTAAATATGCAAGTTGAGGCTTCGTCCGTGGAGACTTTTTTTGTTTGGTTTAGCCGACATCCGAGGGGAGGGGGAGGGGGGGAGGGTGGTTCTGCTTTACTGAAAGTTAACAGCATTTCCATTTCTTCCTTATGTATAAAGAAATGGATATCTGCAATACCCTCAAAAAGAAACCTGCAATGATACCTTTCATTACACTTGCATCGTAGCGTGAAAAGTACTGAGGGACGACCTTTGTTAGTTTCCTGTTAACTTTAAACTTTCTATTTTTACTGCATAGAGCGGTACGTCCAGAGAAAGCTGATGATCATTCAGTTTTTCATCCATGGTGTACATGATGGGGGTTTCAACAAAGTTGAACTCATTAAGTAGTTCTGTTGCGTTAATCAACAGATGGGATTTGTGGTTGCATCTTTACCTCCTCCATCTGCTTTAAGACTAGGTCAGAACAGGACCATCGCAAGCAACTGTTGGCATCAAGCATCTCAGAAGAAGAAGCAATTACAATGAAGGTGAACCTTGGAGACATTCAGGAAGTCTTTGGTAAAGTCTGAGGGATCAAAATTGCAAGTAACTGTCTCTGGATGTAGTGTCCATGCTTGATGTGTGGGGATCCCGATGACTACAAAAGTGACTTTGAAACTTCTGAGTTTATTGTTTTTCATATTATCATCATTAACTCTGTCCAAAACTTCATGTGTAACTGAACGATCTGTCATACACATCATACATTCATTATCTAACTCAAAGCCACCTTGTTTCAGATGTGGAAGAAACGCTACGGGCAGCCGAGGAGCTGGTAGCAGAGGTGAAGAGCGTGGGCGTAGGTGGACGACTGCTGTGTCGGCTGCTGGTGGGTGTGGGAGTGGCGCTGCCCAAGTGTAACAGACATGAAGATGCAATTGCTGTCCTCACTGACGCCGTCCACATAGCTCGGGCCAGGTGTGTATGTGTGTGTATGTGCGTGTGTGTATCTTCACCTAATTGTAATCGTCTAATTGTGGTTGCAGGGGTTAAGTCATACCTCCTGCCCTCGCCTTTCACTGGTCGCTACTAGGTCAACTCTCCCCCCTGCTCCATGAGCTTTATCGTATTTCTTAAACTTATGTATGGATCCTACCTCCATTACATCACTCCATATTGTTCCACTTCCTGACAACACTGACTGAAGAAATACCTAAAATCCCTGTGAGTCATCCGAGTCTTCAGATTCCAGTGGGACCCCTTGATGATGTGTCCCATTTTTGAAACATCCTGTCTCTGTTCACCATGTCGATTCCTTTTATTATATGTCGTTATCATATCCCCTCTATCCCTCCTGTCCAGTGTCGTTAGGTCGATTTCTCTCCTCGTAGCACTTACCACTTAGCTCCGGGACTAGTCTCATTAAAAACCTTTGCACTTTCTCTAATTTCTTGACGTTCTTGACCAGGTTTGGGTTCCATACTCTTGCTGCATACTCCAATATGAGCCTGACGTACACAGCTTACAGAGTTTTGAACGATTCCTTACTATGGTGTCGAAACGTTATTCTCAGATTTGCCAGGCCCCTTTATGCTGCAGCAATTATTTGGTTGATGTGACTCATGAGATGTACTCGGTAATATACTCACCTCAAGATCCTTTTCCTTGAGTGAGGTTTGCAGTCTATGACCTATCTTGTAATTTGTTTGCTGTGTTCTTTGACCTTCCCCAATCTTCATGACTTTGTACCTGGTGGGGTTAAACTCCAGGAGCCAGTTGCTGGACCTGGCTTGCAGCCTGTCCAGATCCCTTTGTGGTCCTACCTGATCCACATCCGTTTGAATTCTTCGCATTAACTTCACATCGTCAGCAAACAGGGACACATTTGAATCTATCTCTTATAACATGTCAGCACCAGACCTAGGACTGACCCTTGTGGAACCCCACTCGACACACGCACCCACTAACACCTCATCACGTACTAATACACTATTACGATGTTCCTTAGAATCTGTAAAGTATTTATGGCAAGAGTCTAGGGGATCTTCAGCATGAAATATACACATGGGAAATCGTAATAAGGAATTATATATATAATGATATAATTCAATCTCTAGTGCAGATCAATTTTAGTATTAAGGAGACTGAAAAAAAATCATAAAATCTCTTAATAAAACGTATAATACTTTATGGTCTCTTAAAGGTATTTTAATGGTACCTTTTACTTATCAATTAGATACAAACCTGGATTTCATAAAGGTACAAAGTCAATTTCCTGAGATGATCAAAGTTTTCAACACTTATAATCTGACCAGTGTAACTGAAATCTCTTCAACACAGGAGAGCTTCTACTAAGTGAAAGTGTCACAAGTACTCGCACTTTCTGGAGACTAAGGAACAGTGCTATGCTCCAGGTAGTTTCTTAAAGTAAATGAGCAGGAAAGGATGACCTTTTCGAGACAGAGAGACGTGTTGTACTGCTTAACCCACACTTCTTACCCCTGACGTCAGCTGGCGTCAGGCGAGTAGTGCAGAGGCGAGGCCACACAAACATAAATTGGTCGTTACCCATGGTGAACGATCCAAAATAATTCATCATATACATATAATGAAAATGAGAAAGATGAAAATGAATATTTAATATTATAAGGCTGATTACTCTCGTTTTAGCTGTTAACGATGGTAATCGCAATGTAATATTAGAAAGATGAACAAATATGAATGACAATAATATATATATAAAATATATATATATATTATATATATATAAATTTTATATATATATATAATATATGTATATATATATATATTATATATATATATATTATATATATATACAATAAGATCACAGTAAACAGGTGATTTCAGAATATGCAAAAACAACCACTGTGAAAGAAAAGAAAAATTTCCCAATCGCTTTCGTGACTACTCACATTATCAATGTGAGTAGTCACGAATTTCTCTCTATTCTTTCACAGTGGTTATTTTGCTTTATATAAAATATATATATATATATATAATATATATATATATATATATAAAATTATATAATATATATAATATATATATATATATAGGAAGGTACCACCTCTGAACTGTTATAGGGACCCTCATCCTCAGAGAAAAGAATAAACTTGCTTCAGGGAAAACTCAATGTTCTCCCTGAAGCTGTTTGAGAATTTTCTCCTACCACCCCCTATTTTTTTATATATATTTTATTTAAAGACAAAATACTTTGACAAAACATTCACAAAAATACGATAAAAAGTAAAACAACATAGGTAACTCCTAGCTACATCTCGAATATTTCGTCCAGCTCCCCGGCGGTGGGCCGCGTGCCCAGAATGCTGCAGGCATTTCCTCTCTGGATCACAACACTGAGTCTCTGAAAGAGGAAGCTGGTCGCCCTGTGGTCCTTGGTTTCTATGATGAGCTTTTCACCCAGCTCTATTAGGAACTTTAGAGCACACTTGCCCCATGCTCCAAGGGTCTCCGACCCTATAGGGATGAAGTTATAGCAAGGGGAAAGGTCTTCATATTTGCGGATCTTCTGGGTCTCCCTGTGGCTGGCAGCTCCACCCCCTTCCACTACGGAGTATGGCAAGTAGGTGTCTGCCAAATGTGGGGGCCCACATGTGTAGTCCCAAGCAATCTGCTTTCCATCCTTCCAAGGTAACACATTGGCTCCATCAGGACGCTTTTGACTTCCATCAGACTTGGGGTTCCCGTTGAGCTGGGGAACGGGCTGTGGCGAGGCTTCCCTTTATGATGTCATTGACCTCCTCATGTCTGGCATACTTCCCTTCTGCTGTGTGACACACGAGACCATGAAGTCCGAATTGATCAGCTGTCGCCCTGCCGCAAATACACCTATGTTCGGTGAGGATGGGGGCGGCTAGGCGAAGAGCAACACCAATCCGAATGGCTTGTGGGTCTAGTCGAGTGCCCAAGGAAGAATTGGGAACAGTTAACAGGAAATCTCCTGAGTGTGGAGCCTTCACTGGCGTAACATACACGTTATTTCCTTCCTGTCAGGTATTCCCTGATCCATAGCAGTACTCTCCCTGCTATACCTGCCTGCTCGTCCAGGTTTTCAACCAGTCTCCTTGAGTGATCCTGTATCGAAAGCATTCTTACAGTCCAAGAATATGCAGTCTAAACATCCCTTTCTCTTCTGTCGTACTTCTGTTATCTTGCCGTAAAACTCCAGTAGGGCATTGATGCAGGATTTCCCTTCCCTGAACCTAAGCTGGTTTTCATGAATAAGGCCAATTTTTTCTAGGTGATTCACCTCTCTTATCCCGATAATCTTCTTCATAACTTTACATACCATAAATGTCAGTGACACAGGTCTATAATTTAGTGCTTCCTGTCTGTGACCGTTCTTAAAAATTTGGGTTGCGTTTGTTGTGTTCCACATCTCAAGGAGTTGCCCTGTTTCAATAGATTTATTGAAGATTATTGTAAGTGGCACAAATAGTAAGTGCATCTGCTCCTTCTCTTAGGATCCACGGAGAAATGTTATCTGGGCCAACTGCCTTCGAGGTATCTGGCTTAACTAGAAGTTTCTTAACATCCTCCTTCGGTTGTATACAGTGTGTACAGCACTTGGTAATGCACCCTACCACCTCAGCTTGACACACTATTTCACTCAGTATACTTCTGCGGGCGTCATTCGCTGCCTGGATGAGGTAGAGTGCAGTCGTGCTTTGCACCCCTCTACTGTTTACCCAGACGAGCTTTCTCAGACAACAATAAAGGCGCTAGGTGTGCGCCGGAGAGTGAATACTGTGGGGATTGAGTTCATTAGTGGGGCTTTAACGCCTACGTCAGTCGATGTGTTATTGCCCAAAATTATACGAGAGAGAAATATGGCATCAGAGACGAGGATTTGTATGGAGTGGCACCTGAATGGTGTTTATAGAATATTCGTAAAAGTGCTAACTGCTCAAGTGTACAAGGCGTTTGGGGGATCGTTACCAAGATGTCAGCATTAACGTAACACCGGCAGTGAGGGTCAGGTTGACGGATGTATCAGGACATTATTCGTGGGTCAAGCTCTGTAACGTGCCTTTTGAGGCTGATGAAGCAGATATTAGAAATGTTTTCAAAAGATATGGGACTGTACATCTAGCCCAACCTGGAAAATGGGTAAAAGGAGCTTACACAGGATTTCCTGAGGGTACTTTCAATCTCAATATGACGCTGAGACATCCTATACTCTCGCAGAGGCGTATGTGCCGACTGTGTGGCGAATATGACCATATGGCGGCAGATTGTGACAAGCAGAATATGGCTCCTGGGCCGGCAAGGGGCGGAGCACCTGCACATGAGAAAACAATGCCTGAGGAAGAATGGTGGCAAGGAGGAGGGCATGGTCGCATGAGGAGTGAAGAGGTGGTGGCTCCTCCTGTGGAATCTGAAAAGGGGATGGGGGGTGATTCATGAATCACCCAGCCCATTAATAGTACAGTTTTTTCGAGTGAGGAGGTGCAAAATGGGACAGAAGTGAAAGCTATCGAAAGGGGTTGTAGACGGTGATACAGGCTATGTTACAGTTTACGGAGGTGGAGAGTCGCAGCGAGCAGGAACCTGGGATCAGGGCGGAAGGTGGTGTGTGTGGGAGGAAGGGAGGACCAGGTGGCACCTGTGATGGACAGTGCGAGTGCCATGGAAGGACATGGAGGCGAATTAAGGGTGGTAGAGGTGGAAGTCCATTGTGAGGACTCCCTGGACACAGATATGGAGACTGAGGGAGCTACGAGGGAAAGTGCGGCGGCGTCAGATTCAGACGATGTTCTGACGCCGGCGCAAAGGCCAGGGAAAAAGGCACGGGGTTATGGTACCCAGAGTGACTCTAAGAGAGGGCCACAACAGAAGGGGGGAGGATGGTTGGGAAGGAGGGTGGAGTACGTGGCAAAGGCAATGCCCAGGGAAATGGTCAGAAAGGGAAGAGTCTTGAAATGAGGCAGAGAGGGAAACCTTAAACCGGCCTCAGGTGTGTAACAATAAATATTAATGGTCTGTGTGATGGTGTTAAACGTGAGTGCTTCCGGATGTTTTTGAATAGATACAAGGTTGACGTAGCTTTTGTGCAGGAACACAATTTTAAACTTGGTCATGAATTAGTGGTGCCTGGGTTCCAGGCTTATGTGTTGC